ACTTCATGATTAAAAATCTTTTCATCAACTAACAAACTTTACTAAAGGGTGTCTAACACACAGAGTACTAGGCTAATATAGGTGGCTAAGGTTGGTATGGATTCGAGAGAAATGGAGGGAGGTAGAAATAGGAAGAATTGAGAGGGTGAGGGTAAATATTGAGAGGGGTATGTACAGATGTATGTTCTATAGGGAGAACAAGTAAAGAAATGAATTTGAGAGGGAGTGAAAGAGCGAGAGAATGTTAATTTCTTTGTAAGGTCTTGATGAACTGGTCTAATGGAAGTGCAGTTTTCTCTTTTCTCTCGTGTAGTTTATATTCTCTCCAGAAATCTGTTAACATTTTAACTTCTGAAATTACTGCTGTCTAAAAATGTACAAGTTATCAGCCTTTCGTGTTACTGATTATGTGCTGCTTTTTATATAAGTATTGTAGCACTTCTCAGTGACTAGATAGGGTTGCAACTTATCATCCATTTTAACAGCATCCTCAACAGTTATATATGCAGTGAATAAAACACTTACAATTTATGAATGTTTCTTTAATTCTGAGAAATGTTGCTTTCCAATCTTTTGAAATGCATGCTAAGCATCATTTTAATTCTTTTTTGTGCATTTTTGCTGTCAAGTTTATTATTCATTCTCATCATATATATGGGTTTTATATGAGTCTTAAAATGCTGTAATTTTTGCAGTTATCTTATATTTCATGGTCAACTTCCAATAGCAAAATTAAGTCTAAATAAATTCTACCAATTACAAAGAGAATACAGATTAATATAAGCACTTGTTGCTTCTTTCTGAATCCTATTTGTGAATGAGAATATATATTGTAATAAAATGTATTACATTTCATAATAAAATATTATTTACACTAAGGAGAATACAAAATGGGTCACTAAGGCATGTTGTAAAAAATAGTATTGTAATAAATATTAACATTTTTTTTTTCTCAATTCTACATGTTTGTATTGTTTTCTGTCTATCGTTTTGTTATTTATATGTTTTTCTTTAGTAACAATCCTATTGTTTGGATTTTAAAATAATACAATTGTTATTCCTATTCTATCCTAAGACATTCCATTGACATGCAGCGTGGTATATTCAAGCCTCTTGAAAGCCGCCTATATGGTCCTTTGGTAGTCTGTTCGCCTCGATGAAGGAGGATATCGAAGTTTGGAGCCCAGCAGAGTCGAACTAGACTTTACAATTGGTATATGCTGCTTCTTCGCTAACCACATTGCAATAAAAAGAAACAGTAAAGACTTGTCAGAATAACTTGTCCGTGTAGGGCGACACATTTTCTGCGGACTGCTACCTTTTGAACTAGCATGTTAAAAAATCCAACTCAGCGTGTTGGTCTAGAACAAAGAAGGGTTTTAAGAGACACAAAATGATCAGCAAAACAATATCTACAAATATTTCATCATAGACAAAATTGTAAGTTCTCTTCTAATAAAAGTCATTTCCTATGAATGACGATTTTTACCCATATCTTGTATTTTATGCGAAAAAAACTGTATTAGACAAGAGAAACTAAAATTAGAAAAAATTATAAGCAATACAAAATCCACAAAAAGAGGTCATACATTATGGTCTCCAATGTTGAAAATGCACATTGATCCGAGGTGAACAGAAAACAGGGTTTTCTTCATGACCAATCACAAACACAATTATTTTTTCAGCATATATTCAAACATTTTTTTTTACACTTTTATATTTTTATGTTGTAATATTTTAACATGAATTTATATGTGTTTGCTTTATTTGATACATGTAACTGTATATACCAAGCCAAGTCAGTCTATATCTTGTTTCTCACCTGACTATTTGAAAGGCCAGGAGAGTTTTGGTCATCCATGATTTGTCTGTCGTCTTTGATAGATCATGTTGACTAGCTGTCTAAATAAAGTTGTGATGAGGATATATACAGTAACCGGCATATCCAAATAATGTTCCCTGAAGTCACAAACAACTTCCCCCACTTGAAGCTCTAAATATCACTACTGATGTAATATTCTATTTATCAATAATAATATAAATAGAGATTGTATGCATGTATTTTTGTTGAAATTTTTAATACACAATTGCTCAAATCTTGTAAAAAAATGTCGATGCCCCATCTTACTTCTTAAGCACATCAGAGCACTGTCAGCAAACTGTTTTTTACACTTTATGCTATTCACAATTTATTTTTTGTCAGATATTCAAAACATTCTTCTTTTTGTTCAATTCTAGGTGCAAACTATTTATTTTATGTTTTCAATTTTCACAAGCAGACTTTTTTTCTCGAAAATTCCCCCAGAGAATCAAATGGTTACTCCCTTAGATCCCTTGATTATGAATATAGATGACAAGCATTGTGCCGAATTTTTTTTGCCAGTGAACATAAAAAAACACTTCATGTGGAAATATGTTTTTGACGGCGATTGTGACATATATTATTTCTATACCTATTTTTTTATATAGATTAGACCGTTGGTTTTCCCGTTTGAATGGTTTTACACTAGTAATTTTTGGGGCCCTTTATAGCTTGCTGTTCGGTGTGAGCCAAGGCTCCGTGTTGAAGACCGTACTTTGACCTATATTGGTTTACTTTTATAAATTTTGACTTGGATGGAGAGTTGTCTCATTGGCACTCATACAAACTCTTCTTTTATCAATATCAGACATATTGGAGTCAAACAGTCAAGAGTCTGTCGAATTTTGTCAATCTTCTCTCATTTTATTACTGCAATATCCAAAGATATGGAAAGATTATATCTAAAACTTAAACTGTAATGTTTATTGTACTAGTATATATAGAATCAAAGTTTAATTTTTCGAATCAGGGACAGTTTTAAATACAAATAATGTTTGATCCAATGATGTCCCATATCATACCTTCTGCTGTGATCTCCCTTATATCTGATGAATTAACTAAACATAACATCGAACTATGATAGAAATATATTTGTATAGAATAAAATCTGTTCATTCAATTTTGTTACTATTTATCGAAGTAACCTTGAAAGAACATTGATCAAATTTTGCAAGACAAGGTGATGCAGAGATTTACCTCAAAATAAATTACAAATATTATGAAATTTTCCCAAGATTAACCATAAAAAGGTAAAAAGGTGATAATACCAAACTTTTAATATTCGACTTAATGAAAGTTAATTGACATTTGCCTCATTGGCAATCTTACCATATCTCCTTTTTTCATCTTGAGAGCTGCAAATAATCAAATTTGCAGAAGTCAGAATGATAATGAATAGTCTGACACACAAAATGCACGAAACAATTGTGTACAAAAGCGAAAATAAATTTTCCTGCGTCAAAGCCACGGAAAAACTAAGCATGAGTAACAAAAGAGAGATAAAGATGCACAAGGGATAATCAAACTTGTAAGTCGAAAACGAACCGACAATGCCATGGCAGAAAACGAAAAACGACCAAAACACAAACAACAGTACACAAAATACAACATTGAAAACTAAAGACTGAGAAACACAAACTCCACAAAAAAATGGGGGTGATATCAGGTGATCCGGACGGGTAAGCAGATCCTGCGCCTCATGCGACAACCATCGTGTTACTCCTATGAAATACGTTGTTAATTATATCAATCTGATTAGCAATCACACAAAAGCGTATTGGTAATTGGCTCATAGCAACACATGAAAATCATTAGTCAATCAGCAAAAAATCCTCCTCCCCCCACCATTCGAATATCAAATGGTCGTCCCCTAATATATCTGAATATTAATGACAAGCTATTTTGGCAGTGTTTGCAGTTTTGCAAAAAAATGCAAGAAGTTTGAAACCCTATAATGTAACTATGTAAGACAAAATATAAGGATACAAATACTGATGGTTGAAAGTTAGATAGTCTAATGTCCTGTAGACATTTAAAGGTGGTTATTTGATTTATATTAATTTTTGCTTTTCGAATTCAGAGGACCAAAATTGGCCGTATATAATAACCTCTATTATAATTCAAAAAGACAAAATTTTCTTCAATGATTTAAAGCTGAGTCTTTTTGAGTTATCGTAGAAAACAATTAAATTGAATTACCACAAGCGTAATGTGAGGACTGACTCATATCATTATGTACATCTTTTTCTTGAAATTGATACTAATGAAGAAATGTTAACTAGGATATATCGTGGAGCTTTTAAATTGTTTGCATATTTAGAAAAAGTCTGAATAAATTTTAATGTCTAGAAGAGAATTTTTTAAATCTTACATTTAAACAATGGTTAATTCGTGACTATGGAACTTTCGTTTGAAAGTCTTAACATTTGAAATTACTTTTGTAATATGGAATTTGCAAATAAATATTAAAGAAATGGTACAATTTAAAAAATTAAAACGACCAAGTTTCTAAATACATTTTACAAATGGCTACATACCAAGTCTTGATCGTTAAATTAAAATAAAACATCGATTTGGCATCCATAATGTTTGGTAATTAATATTGAATGGAAAATCTTAAAAATGATAATAAGTATGATAATAATAGAAGAAATAAAAAACGTTCGAAAAAGAGACGGAAGATACTAAACCGAGAATCATAACTCGGGTTATCCCAATCACGAGAATTAACATTTATATACATATTTCCTGCTATGTTCTAGACCGACACGCTAAGTCGATTGTAACTTTGTAACGGTCTAGATGAAAACACATCACCCTACTCTGAATCCGATCCGACCAGTCTTTGTTTTTATTGCTAAAAGCCACGCGATAAGCGGAGAGACAACAAATACTAAATTGAAAGTCCTTGAGACAACGATCCTGGGTTTGAACCCACGTCTTTCCCAACAAGAGGCGGTCGAATATATAACACAAAGAATGCCCTGTTATTGACAAATCTGGAGGAGTTTGGGTTTTCAACAATACAGATACTGATTACTGATTACTTGCTCCCCAGTAACATCGCAGAACTCTGTTACTACTGATATATTTCAGCATTTTCTGTATTACCAATGCAATTCATACTTGTAACAAAACAAAATATTTGAACGTTTATTCTAGTAATATGTTATATTTCAAAATATACATAATGTAAAAATACAAAAGCCTAAGCTAAACTTCAAACTAAGTTAAATATATGTATATATTGAGACGTAAAACTTTTACTATCTTCACGACAGCTCACTGCAACTTAAGTGTGCAAAGTTTTATACCTGCATGCCAAATTTGATGGAAAACGTTACACTGTCAATGACAAATGTGACCGTATAAACAAAAAAATCAGGTCTTGAAAAAAAAAATGCCGACGTTGTATCATGCTCGAGAGATTTTTTTGATCATGCCATCAAAATTGTTTTTGCACACTTTAAAGTCTGGAGCGTATAAAAGAAAACATACGGACTTTTGTATTAGTCTACAACTTATTATTAAAATGAGCATATTACAATATCTACCACTTAGAATTCAATGACTTTTAGAACATTGATGGTTTAATCATCGGCTTGTTGAGTTCTAATACTATGCAGGAAATTAGTATAAAAAAGTGAAAGAAAACTTCGATTAAACATTTAGAAAAGTTGTTTAACTACTCTCGATCGCACACAAAGAAGTATTAAATGTTGAAACAGACTAAGGATGGAGTCTAGCAATGATGCTTGTCAAAATTAAACCTGTAATAGAGGCTAACATAATAAAAGTTCTGCCAAATAAAATAAAAAAAACAACAGCATTTGTTGTGTAGATTTGATTTTCACAAAATATGACAGTTGTTAATTTATCTATTATACCCAACTTGGGAATATTCAGCCTATGAATAATGCACAATATCCAAAATGAAACAGAAAACAAAATGTTTCTTCGGTAATTTCACTACACATACCAGTCCGTTCAATGTACAGGAATGAACACTTCGATAAATAATCTGCATAACAATAATAATATCAATCAAGTAAGAAAATCCACACTACTTTGTCGGCGGGCATAATATGGAATTTTAACATCGTCATCCTTCTTCACTAAAAAGAAAAGAAACAATTTTTTAATTAATATGATCAGTGTTCTCAATAAGAGCCGACAACCGGCAAAATCCGCACCCTATTGCGTGTTTTGTGCCGGCTATTAATTTATTGACAAAAATATGACATATGCGAAAATCCCATAGACGAGACCTGTCGTACATCTTTTTTCTGTTAACTGGTTCCGAGTCGTCCGCCAGGCGTAAATAATACAATAGTAAACGTAAACCAGTTTTTTAAAAATCATTTGAGCGTTTGAAACAAAGCGATAAATCTGTACAAATCGAAATTGATGTCGACGAGGATATTTTAGACAGCTCGTTGCAAACTCAAACATGAAGAGAACGATCGGTGATTACTTTAAGCGTGAGCCGGATTTACAGTAAAGTAAAGATAAGAAAGCTCGCTTAGTGTATCTTACATGGATTTTAACTTGTGTGTATTTAAGTATTTTATTGTATAATTGCCGGAGTGCAAAGTAAAATAAAACACGGTGAAATCAGTCCACATCTGACGAATTCTAGTCACTTCGGAATGTGGTTAAATCGGCACCTGGTATACTCAATTCGGTACCTAGTCAAATATACGTTGACTATATATTGGTTTTAGTATTAGGAAAGAGTTCCATATGACACCCCACGGAATAAACTGTAATACATTATTGTGTTCTTTTAGTATGACGGGGGTGCCATATGGAACTCTTGCCGTATTTTAAGCAAAAAAATAATAAAACAAGAAATGATTGTAACAGGATGCTGTTACGAAGTCTCCCAAACGAAGCTCCCATAATTCGTAATTCCCAGGGTCGTCTGACATTAGGCAAAGTCCAGTGAAAATTGGTTTGGTAAAGTTATATGCATTAGTGATGCCTGGGGACTAACCCTGTATATCATTCAAATCATCTTGGCATGACAAACCAGAATATATATGGTTTAGGGGTGGAGATCTCGACAACTTACAAGATACTAGAACATTGTGGTTGGGGGGAACCCATGGGGACTGACCCTATACGTCATTCAAATGTTCGAGACATGACGAACAGGAATATATATATGGTTTAGGGGTGGGGATCTCGACCATTTACAAGATATTAGAATATTGGGGGTGGGGGGAACCCCTGGGGACTGACCCTATACGTCATTCAAATGTTCGAGACATGACAAACAGGAATATATATGGTTTAGGGGTGGGGATCTCGACCATTTACAAGATATTAGAACTTTCTAAAATGGCAGGGGGTGGGGGATGACCCCTGGGGACTAACCCTGTAAATCATTCAAACCATCTTTGCATGACAAACCAGAATATATATGGTTTAGGGGTGGGGATCTTGACCACTTACAAGATATTAGAACTTTTTAAATGGCAGGGGGTGGGTGTGACCCCTGGGGACTAACCCTGTATATCATTCAAACCATCTTTGCATGACAAATCAGAATATATATGGTTAAGGGGTTGGGATCTTGACCACTTACAAGAAATTAGAACTTTCTTAAATGGCAGGGGGTGAGTGGTGACCCCTGGGGACTAACCCTGTATATCATTCAAACCATCTTTGCATGACAAACCAGAATATATATGGTTTAGGGGTTGGAATCTTGACCACTTACAAGATATTAGGTTTTTCTTAAATGGCAGAGGGTGGGGGTAACCCTGGGGACTAATCCTGTATTTCATTTGATTTGCTTTATAATGAAAAACTAGAATAAATATGGTTTAGGGGTGGGGATCTCGACCATTTACAAGATATTAGAACTTTCTCAAATGGCAGGGGGTCGGGATGACCCCTGGGGACTAACCCTGTATATCATTCAAACTATCTCAGCATGACCAACCAGAATATATATGGTTTAGGGGTGGGGATCTTGACCACTTACAAGATATTAGGTTTTTCTTAAATGGCAGGGGGTGGGGGTGACCCCTGGGGACTAACCCTGTATATCATTCAAACCATCTTTGCATGACAAACCAAAATATATATGGTTTAGGGGTGGGGATTTTGACCACTTACAAGATATTAGAACTTTCTTAAATGGCAGGGGGTGGGGTGACCCCTGGGGACTAACCCTGTATATCATTCAAACCATCTTTGCATGACAAACCAGAATATATATGGTTTAGGGGTGGGGATCTTGACCACTTACAAGATATTAGGTTTTTCTTAAATGGCAGGGGGTGGGGGTGACCCCTGGGGACTAACCCTGTATTTCATTAAATGTGCTTTATCATTTAGAAATTTTTCAATTAAAAAGATTGTGTCTATCACAAACGGTTTTCAATTTATAATCATTTGAAAATTTAAAAAAATAAAATCCCATAGGGTTCTATAGTAAAACCCTCCTTTCTTTTCGCCCCTCAAAGTACCCCTTTATAAACCCTATTGCACAAACAAAACCCTGATTGCACCACTGGACATGTTAGTCTAACATATTGTGAAACCCTAAGTTAATCTGACTAGCGGTTTTGGAGAACGGGTGCGGACAAGTTCAAATTTAAAAGCGGCGGAAGAGGAAGAAGAAGAAGAATAATAATAACAAGTAATCCTGTGTTAGGATGCTAACACAAAAGTCGCCAAAACGGCCCCCAACCATTGTTCTGCTGTTTGCATGGTAACGGCAGCCATTTTGAAATTTCAAAGTCGGATATCACATCTTCATCTTCACGTGACAGGTCACATTACTTACAAGTTTCATAAAAATTGGACCAATTTTCAAATTTAGGCATTCGTGTTTCCATGGTTACGGGGGCCATTTTGGAAATTCCAAAGTCAAATGCCACATCTACATAAGACAGTCAACATTTGTGTAAAGTTTCATTAAGTTTGAAGCATTTTGAATTTTTTGACATTTTTGCAGTTTCCATGGTAACGGCAGCCATTTTGAAAAGTCGGATGCCACATCTACACATGACAGGTCACATTACTGTCAAGTTTCATAAAGATTGGACCAAATCTAGATTTTTCGCATGTTTGTTGTTTCCATGGCAACGGCGGCCATTTTGGAAATTCCAAAGTCAAATTCCAAATCTACATATACTCGTTAACATCTCTGTAAAATTTCATTAAATTTGAAGCATTTACAAAAAATTTCACATTTTTGCAGTTTCCATGGTAACGGCGGCCATTTTAAAAATTCCAAAGTCGAACTACAGCTACATATGGTGCTACCTGTAATAATCTATCATTATATAACATATAAAGTACATAGGAATAATTCAACACTATCACATGACAAATCACATGACTATTGTTCTAGAATGTTCCATGAAAATTGACCCCCTAAAATAATGCCAAGATGACCCCGGGCTGAAATAAAAAATATTGAATGGACACCTGGACATTGGTCTCTTGTATTACACAAAACTTAAAGATTCTACCAGTAGTGAATCAATAGTCGAAAAATGACCCCACCCATGTTCCGGCCCCCAAAAAGTGCGAAGTTGACCCCCATTTGCAATAAAAAAAATAGCGAATGCACCCCTAGGGATACTACCCCAACATCATACCAAATATAAAGTTTCCATCATTTAAGGCTTGGAAGAAAATGGTCGGACAAATTAGGGTTAAGAAGAATAATAATAACTAGATTTGCCATTGCAAGCAATAGCGGATGTCACCCTTCCCCCCATTGCCACTAAGTGGCAGCCATTTTAAAAATTTTAAACAGTGAATGCACATATATGCATGGCAATACATTTTTCTATAAATTTTCAGAACATTTGGAGCATTTTGAAATTTTCACATATTTGCTGTTTCCATGGCAACGGCGACCATTTTGGAAATTCCAAAGTCAAAAGTCTTATCTATACATGCCAGTTAGCATTAATATAAAGTTATATTAAGTTTGGTGCATTTTGAAATTTTTGACATTTTTGCTGGTTTTCATGGTAACAAAGACCATTCCCAAAATTGTAATGACAGATGCCACATTGGTACATGGGAGGGAACAAACCATCAAAGTTTCAATGGATTTGACCTACCATTTTAAGAGAGAAAATGCTACTTTAAGGTTTTTCCCATAGGGTTATAATGGGAAACCTTTCCCTAGTTTCCATGGCAATACAGTAGTTCCGATGATTCTCAAAATCATCCAAAACCTGTATATAGTGGATACCTATGTTTTATAAAAATTTGATGATTTTTAGTTCAGGCATTATCAAATTAGTCATCAAAAACAAAAACAAAATATTTTTCACATTTTTGCTGTTTCCATGGAAACGGCCGCCATTTTAAAGTTCCAAAGTTTCACTGCAACTCCACTGATGGTGGTCCTCATTATGCTCAACAATCATGAAGATTGGTTCCATTGCCTCCGAGAAAACTGCCGGACAAAATTAGGTGGAAGAAAAATAATAATAATAGGGAAAAAGAAACAGAGGAAAAGCAATATGTCACCCGACATTGTCGATCGGGTGACATAATAATAATAATAATAGGGAAAAAGAAACAGAGGAAAAGCAATATGTCACCCGACATTGTCGATCGGGTGACATAATAAAAAGAAACGTAGAATAACAATACGTCACCCCAACTCCGTTGAGGGTGACATAATAAGAACTGAGCAAAAACAATAAGTCTTCCCAAACTTCGTTTGGAAGACTTAATAAAGAAGGGGGATAGCCAGAATTAATTGTTGTATATAATCAAGTTCTTTTTGTTTCTTTGTGTATTTCCTTCGGTCAACTATATGTGTATTCAAGGTATTGTTTATTTATTATGCATGTTTTAACCAGTTGATATTGATTAAGGGACTCATATTTTGCCCTTTCATTGCATCTTATTTTTTCATGATTAAACAACAGCTTGGGTAATGGCTTCGTTGGTTTTTATTTAAGTTTTTGAAGAATAATTAAAAAGCAGAAAACAGATGAAAATTATTATTTGGTGCCGAACTGACCAACTAAATGCCGAAATGACTTTAAAATAGGTGCCTATTTGATCATATGCCGATTTGACTTTTTTGATAGGTGCCAATTAAACTTGTACCCTCTGACCAACAGAGAGAATTGAGTATAACCTGATAAACTGTTGACACTATACATAGTTCCTATTTCCTGGATTTAAAATTTATTATTTTTCTAGCCATATTTTGTCAGTTTGCTTACTGCAGGTTGACAGTTTCCAAAGGCAACTCTGGTTTCCTCTAAATATAAATCTTACCAGTTTTTGAATGACTGAATAAAGCATAAATTAATGTTCTCAATGAATTCTATTTAAAACTATAATACAAGACACTAAGAAATAATATGAGGTGAAGACACAATTATAAGAAATGTCTGTATGGGGAGGGGGACGGCACATTAATAAAAATAAAATTGTATGGGCTACTTCACATATTTTCCCAATCAAAACTTACAATTAAGGAAAAATTAACTAAAATTTTATTCAAATAAAAAGTGCTTTTCCCTCCCCATAAAATCAATTCTGGAATAGCCCTTAGTGATAAAGACTTGCAATAAGAAGAACATTGAACATGGAAAGGGGTGAAGCAAGCCATGTCATATAAAATCTGCAAAAAAAATCACATTAATTTTCAATTTTTGAGGAAAAATTTAAATGAGCTACTTAAAATTGACAAATTAACATGAAGAATAAGAGGTCAAAATTTTCTAAGAACAGCCCAGATGCCAATCTAGATTTTCAAAATTTTCTCGGGGGAAATCCCCCCGAACCCCCGGCTTTACGAGAAGAGGGATATCCCCCTCTCGAACTCACCCCCTCTTGCGCCTGCGACGCTCGGTTCGGGTCTTGTGGCCCTCATGATTGCCTGCTACTTTTATTTTCTTCCTCTTATTCAAAAACTTATTGAGAACACTGATGATGATAAAGACGTAAGGAGTAACTTAAAAACAAATGTGTTAAAAAATGCGATATCATACACCATTTCAAAACTTATGGCTGTTATTAGTAATCAAAATGGGACTCAAAAAACAAACAATACAATGGCAAGAAAAAACAAACGACGACAAGACAAACAACAGTCTACAAAACAATAGAGGAGACGGATTTGTATAAGTTCTTCCGAATCCCTGTATTCCTATTGTACAATTGTAATTTGTGCACTTTTGAAAAAAAATAATTATTTAAACTAAAACACTAAACAGACTAAAACTGGTCAAAACGAACTCCGCCAGATATGGGGAGTTCAGGTAAACCGGAAAGAAAACTGGTCCAGCTCTACTAGTGGCACGAGTCGTGTTGATCATGACAACGGAAAACGGGATTTTGACTACGACAATTGGAACATATCCGTGGTCATCTGTGACACAGAAATATCAGTACCTAAAATTTTATTTGTTGGCTTGTTATACCTTTCTTTTCAGTATCAGGTTTGCTAATTATTGAAGGCCATACGGTGACATATAGTGACTAACTTCTACGTCGTTTATACTCTGGTGTATCGTTGTCTTATACACCTTAGCGCTATATAGTCCAATCCGGAAAAAAAAACAGTCACTTAAACAACTTCCTGTTTGGGTCAAGTCTTGCAAAATCAAAGTTCATCAGTAACGAGTTCAGGAACGAAAAGGTTTAGAAAGCAAACATTTTGAAACTTTGATAGATTATGATCCATCTTTTTAAAACACACATTAAAGTAATAAAAATGCTGTGTTTGAAGTGTTTACGATGGTTTAAACATTTCTCTTTGAAAAGTTTTATGCATAATACATTGTTTCAACAGGGCCCAGATAGCTTCAACTGGATGAAAAAGTTGTGTGATTTTAGAACTAATCAAGATTTGAATAACTAGCGATAATTTGTATTGGCAATCATACCCCATCTTATTTCTATCTCGTTAATAACCAAGGTAAAAGACGAGTTTGTAAAGAGGTATAGCATATTTTCCGTAAATTTATTTCACACCTGTGCCATTTAAAATTAGAAATACCTAAAAACTGCTCAAAAATTGCAATTTTGACAGCTTTTGGTAAAATTTTAGTATTCTTCTAAAAACGTCAAAGAAGTACTTTCTTAACCAAAAACAAAATTTGATTGGAAGTTATTCTATATATTTTGTCATTCAAATACAAATTAATTAATTTTAGTTAAAGGTGTCGTTAAAGGTGTCATTTGATGCAAAGTTTTACAAATACTTGAAAACCGCAACAGCGCCAAATCACGTTTTTAGTCTATGGAAATAAGTATTTTTTTTTATAACTTTTAAGTCTATTATGAGGACTGTAAAATATTTAATTACAGTAGGTTTGGCTAACTTTCTTATTTTGGTCCTGTGAAAAAATATAGGAGAAATTGGTCCTACCCATTTTTACTTCATCATAAACATTTTCTTCCCCGTAATTTACTTACATAATATATGTGTTATAGGGAAAATTAACATGGGATAATGTTCCCAAAATATATATAAAGTAAAACTATACAAACAACTGAGGATCCCTTTACGGCTTCAGAAATTAAAGCACATACGAGTGTAAGCGACGAGAAAATCACCGGCTCATGATTTCAAAGCGCATGAAACATGTTCTTTAAATAATATTTATTCATACCACAAGTTTTGGAAGACATTCAACCCGAATACGGCATAAACTGAAGTTTCGGAGCATTAAAACCTAACAGGTCTGAAACAGAAGTTTGGGAGCATTAAAACTAACAGGACATATATGGAAGTTTGGGAGCATTAAAACTTAATAGGACATAAATAGAAGAAAAAAACGAAATCGTCGTGTAAGGTCTTCAAAAGAGAAAGTTAACCAAACCTTAGTTTCAAGTAGAATTACATGAGAAAGTTGAACCCTTCGTTTCAAGTAGAATTACATGAGAAAATTAAGCCCTTAGTTTCAAGTAGGATTACATTATGAACAAATCAATTTACCCAGAACCAAAACACTTAATTGCTGTTGGATTTTGTTGCCTACATAGACTTAATAAAACTATATCTTTTTGAAATGTATAGAATAGAGAAAAAGGAATGATACCGATTTAAAAGACCATGACATGTTTATCAGGGATAAAAAAAAGAGAGGCGAAAGATACCAAAGGGACATTCAAACTCATAAGCCGAAATTAAACTGACAACGCCATGACTAAAAAAGAAAAAGCCCAACAGACAAACAGACAAACAATAGTACACAAAACACAATAACTTGCATCAGGTACACTTGAGACCAAACCAAATACAACCCAGAATGTAAATGTTCCCTGCTCTTACGAATTTATTGCGCATTTTAAATAAGTTTTTCTTTTTACTTTTAACCATTTGTACTTACATGCAATCTGTACGAAATTCATTCCCCATAAAATGCTCCATATCCACCCAACAATAACAAGAAACGTCACCATTTGTAGAAAAGCGGCCAGTAGATTTAACAGGAAGGCATTCCTTCGTTTACTTATCTTAGTCTGAGCTCCACAAAAAACGGTAAAGGAAGATATAAATGTACCTGAAATAAGAACGTAAATAGACGAGTTCACATGATAATAAATAAAGCTACGAAATTATTTTTGTTAGTTTGAAACTTAATTTTGTTAAATTATAACCCCCCCCCCCCCCCCCCCCCCAAAAAAAAAATAATGCAACGGCCTTTTGAGATGTAGAAGTAAAACATTTTTGCAGATAGTTTTTCACTAACCTCTCATTTCAACAGCATTATAAGCTTCATATGAATACTACGTTTTCAGATTTTTGTAATATTTGCTATTTTGTTGCATTTATAAGATCTTCTTTTAAAAAATAGTCACACCATCGGAGAACACCATTTGTAGTTCTCGCCAGAAAGTGACATATTTATTTATAATCTATTTCTTTTTTCATTTCGTACGTTTTTTATTATGATTTTGTAACTTTTACAAAGCGGAAGATGAAGGGATATTCAAGTCGATGACAAACTGACAACGCCATTCATTTGTTACTCATTTGTTACTAGCATGTTCATTTTACTTGTTACTAGCATGTTCATTTTACTTGTTACTAGCATGTTTATTTTGCTTGTAATGTTACTAGCATGTTCATTTACTTGTTACTAGCATGTTCATTTTACTTGTTACTAGCATGTTCAGTTTTGTGGAACAAATTCGTGTTCCACCTGCCAACACCATTGACCGTGTTCATATTCCTGCGAATTATTTACTAGTTTTTAAATTACTCTGTTACTGCTTCATTTCATACCAATTTAGTATGTAAATTCTAAAGTGAAATTGTAATTTTTGACATACATCTACTCATTGTTTTATTTCTCCCTTTAACCGAGGTTAGCCGCTCGTTTCCATCTACTCATCTAAATGCTCTTACATGAGTGTTAATTTAGTACTACTAGCAACAAGAAAATAACAATTGTTCAACACAGTTTGATCCACCTCCGAAAACCAGGGGTTCTGCAACGATCCACAATTGATACTGTTATAGCCGGGTAAAATGGCGTTCCGGCTAAATGGAAATCAAGAAGGAATATTTCGCTCCTTAAACTTTTATTTTAGCAGTCCGGCAAGACCGAACAACAAGCTCTAAACCAAATGTAAAGTAACGTACAAACAATAACAATATATATAAGCACAAGCAATTAAAGGATTAAGAAGATTAGCATATGGCAAATAGAAATAACAATAGATTAGAAGAGTAATTAATGTCCGACACGTATAAGTAAATTATTGTCTAAACTGTTACAGAGAATGTATAATTAAATGAATAGAGTAAATGAATTTAAGTCCTTTGTCCAAGATTATGACACATAATCCGTGTAAAACACTTATGCCTAAATTTACGACAAAGTTCAGAATAATAAAATAAATGCAAAACCTAAATATACATTAAAACAATTGAATAAATAAAATGTTGTTTAAAACTTTTTTCACACTGCACAGTCCAAATAGTCCGGTCATATATTCCCGCGGCCCTTGAAGACACGACCCGGGTCTTAATGTTCATCTAAAATTGTTCCGAAAGTTTCTTCTGTGATTGTGGCGTCCTCTGTAACGATAATTTTGGTTTGGATGATTATCTTCTCTTGTATTATTTCGAAAATTGTCCAATTCGTCTTCTAGTTTAGTGATTCGATCCCGCATATGTTCTTTGTCGCGTTGTAATTGGTATTGCTGGTCGATTGCTTCGCATCTTTGATCGTAAATCCGAAAATTAGCTTCTTCAAGATCAGTAATACGTTCCCGTAATTTTTCCATATCTTTCTTATCATCTGCACTTTGTTTTTGAAGTTTTTCTAGATTGCTAACAACACTGGTATGCTTTTGATTTAGCTCTTTAAATTTCTTTTCATAGTGTACACTTTTAATTTTGAATTTAACTCTCTCGGAATTCACTCGGTCGTGCCTGAGTCTTACGTTATCTATGAATTCCTTGTTATATTCTAAGGTTGGAAAGAAGTCCATCAGTTCTATAGTATTGAGTTCCGCACAAGGAAAAATTGACATAGCTTTCTGTTCTTTGAATTTTATCATTCTTTCTGCGTCACGACGTAACTTGGATTTCGATTTAACCTTAACAACTTTCACGTCCGGTTGTCTGTGAAAATTACACATTCTGGCGTAATGTCCAAAATTTCTGCACTTATAGCAAAATGACGTTTTTGCTATACATTGTCTAAAATGAAATTGATTGTTCACAGTCTTTCCACAAAACTTACATAGGTAGTTGTCCATATGTTGAAAATTTCTTGTCTGAAAGGTAGTTCCATGATCAGACATCTGGTATCTCCAGTCTCGGCCAAAATTTCTGGTTCTCCGCGTATCCATTTTTCTGTTTGCTGGGGGTTCAGCTTCTAAAGTAGAACAAGGTATCCGCTAGATGCGTTGCCCGGGTCCTCCACCAGATATAGCCGGGTAAAATGGCGTTCCGGCTAAATGGAAATCAAGAAGGAATATTTCGCTCCTTAAACTTTTATTTTAGCAGTCCGGCAAGACCGAACAACAAGCTCTAAACCAAATGTAAAGTAACGTACAAACAATAACAATATATATAAGCACAAGCAATTAAAGGATTAAGAAGATTAGCATATGGCAAATAGAAATAACAATAGATTAGAAGAGTAATTAATGTCCGACACGTATAAGTAAATTATTGTCTAAACTGTTACAGAGAATGTATAATTAAATGAATAGAGTAAATGAATTTAAGTCCTTTGTCCAAGATTATGACACATAATCCGTGTAAAACACTTATGCCTAAATTTACGACAAAGTTCAGAATAATAAAATAAATGCAAAACCTAAATATACATTAAAACAATTGAATAAATAAAATGTTGTTTAAAACTTTTTTCACACTGCACAGTCCAAATAGTCCGGTCATACTGTTATCAACGGGGCTATACTTTTTAATTGTTCGGTGTTCCCAGCTTTGTTCTCGAAATGTTTAAGTATAAAATTAATGCAATCTTCAACCGCAATGGGTTTTTTTATGTTGCGCACATGTTTATTAAATATAGCACTGCATGCAGACATAACAAAATATACTGCTGTTGATTTCAAAATCAAATTAAATGTAGGGATTACAATTTGAAATAAATCTGAAAGCATGATGGGCGTACTTCCTAAAATACATCTTATAAATATACTTGTGTCAATTATGATTACAAAAATCATCATTCTGGCTTTAATTTTACACTTTACCGACTTTCCTAGCAACGTTTTACACTTACCAACATATAGAAAAAGGGAGTTTCATTATAAAATATATTCAAATGCACTTGTTTCAAACATATCAACAACCGTCATTTATTGTTAAATTTATCATTTATATATTTGATAAATCTGCTAGAACGTTACCTGTTGATTGGATGCAAGTGCGTTTAATTTGCATGAAAAAGGCACATGTTTCCTTTTCATTAATACAGTTTTGCAACCGATTAAACTGCTTTGCACAAAGCTATCAATTGTATACATTTGAAATTTTTGTTGGAGTTACGACATCCTGCTATCTTTACCGGACTAATTAAAGTATTGATAATTGAATCCACCTGAAGAAAGCTTCAAAATTTTTCAAATAACTTTATTATCAGATTTATAAACTTCAAAACACAAAGAAACTCCAGTACTAAACGTTGATTACTGAAAGTTTCGCTAATGGAATCATATATCACATATTTATTCATCACTAACGGAATCATATACCACATATTTATTCACCAGACAGGGATAGTTGTATAAGAATACAGTAAAGTTTACCGATTTATCCATCACTAATGGAATGATATACCACAATATTTATTCATCAGGCAGGGATAGTTGGATAAGAATAGAGTATCTTTATTATATACTTAGTAGTAAATACAGATAAATTATATGTGTAATACAATCAATGACAATCATGCTGTATCAACCATCCGTGATGATATCGATATCAGTCACGGTTACAAAAGCTTTATCAAACCCCTAAACTCTATGACTTCACGTCATCGGTATCAGTCACTATTGTAAAGAATCAAACCCCTCATCTGAATTACATCATCTCACGTGAAAAAAACATCTGCTTGAAGTATGTAATAAAGTGTATATGATATGGCTTTTTCAATATCACACCCCGTATCAACCCTCAACCAATATAATCCCTCGAGCAGAGCTCTTGGGATTATACTGGTGTCTCGGGTGATGCAGGTATGATATTGAAAAAGCCATATGATATTCTCTATTTATTTATCTTTTTTCTTCACAATGTCTACATCACGGGGTAATTCATACGTTCATGAGTTTCAATACAACGTTCATGAGTTTTCATTCAGAATATAATTGATTAAATATAAATGGTAGATGAGGGGCTGTCATGGTACCGGCTTCAATTCAACAGAATTTTAGTTTTCCATCAACGTTAGTGTGCAATAACTGTAACTGTACAAATGGTTAATTTAGAAAAAAAAATGAGCTAGGAAGATGATACCAAAGGGATATCAAAAGCCATCGAGTAAAGCAGACCTTTCCACATAACACTACAAAGAAAACTAAAGATTGAGCTATTCGAAATTCACCATAAACCGGAGGTCAAATCAGATACTTCGAAAGGGTCAGCAGTTCCCGATCACCGGTGAAATTTGCCATGCTACTCCTATCAAAATACTTTAAAGAGTCATTGTATACCTTGACTATAGCCATCATAAAATTGCAGAATGATAGATGCTGATTGATAGAATTTTCCAAGGAAACTAGTAGGTCCTGTTTAAACTTAGTTACTACATGACTATTCTAAATACCAAAGTCTTTTTTTTCATACTTATGATTGATTATGATCATGATTATATTGTCTGTTGATTTGTATAAGGATAATTATCATTTAAGTATGTCTAAGTGTAATCAGATGGAAAAATTCAGCTGTCACAATTTAGAAAGTGTATGAGTATACATATCAACCTATGGGACGACTGAACAAATAGTTTCGAAAATGTTGTTGATTTGGTATTTGGACTTTCCAAAGGAAAGAGATGGATGATAACTGGTAGTA